ATTGTTGCCTCCTACACACTAATCTTATACACTGTGCTCCACATGCCCTCAAATGAAGGGAGGAAGAAAGCCCTGGTCACCTGCTCTTCCCACCTGACTGTGGTCGGAATGTTCTATGGAGCTGCCACCTTCATGTATGTCTTGCCCAGTTCCCTGCACAGCCCCAGACAAGACAACATCATCTCTGTTTTCTACACAATTGTCACTCCAGCCCTGAACCCCCTCATCTACAGCCTGAGGAATAAGGAGGTCATGGGGGCCTTGAGGAGGGTCCTGGGAAAGTGGTGCTGCTGACACTCTCTGCCCTCTAGGGAGGGCTCATGGCTTGCTTCTCACCAATCAAAATGCTCTATGCAACCACTCTTTAATATGGTACTCTAAGATTTCTTAAACTATCCCTTTATTTTCTACAGTGTAGCTGGTGCATAATATTCTTAAGTGGAACTCACCACGCACATATCACCCTGCCTTGGGAATCCCACGTTGGAAAAGGAACTAGAAGAAGAAAATGCCTTGAATGGGTGTCAGACTCACTGTGTGGTGGAATAGCATCCTGACACATTACCAAGTAGACATGGTAGGGGATTAACTTTCCATTTTAACATCCTGTAGCAGTGAGAAACGGTAGTAGTTTGGGGCTAACAAAATTCCAGTAGCCTCTTAGCATCAGCGGAGGAATGCTCTCTTTGAACTGGATTCTTAAACTATTATAGAGAGAAAGATTCGCAGAAGATGTTTCGGACTTCCTGTTTATTAAGCAGGTAATTGTTTGATCAACTAGTGAGGATGAACAGTAGATGTACGNATGAACATTGGGGAACAGGTATACCTTCGACTTGATGATTTCCATTCCTCTGGGTATATTCCCAGCAGTGGGATAGCTGGGTCATATGGTAGATCTATCTGCAATTGTTTGAGGAACCTCCATACCATTTTCCATAGAGGCTGCACCATTTTGCAGTCCCACCAACAATGTATGAGAGTTCCTTTTTCTCCGCAACCTCGCCAGCATTTATCATTCAGAGTCTTTTGTATTTTAGCCATCCTAACTGTCTGTCCCCACAATTTGATGTTGTCCTCACCTCCAGTAACCCATCCAACCAGGCCTCAGACCCTTTCACAACCAGATCTGATTTACCCCTGAAATTTTAGCCTCCAGAATCTCACTCTGTAAACCCACCTTCTTGTCTCTGGCTCCCTCATCTGTGTGATACACACAGATGTCAAACCTTCAAACTCTTGCAACTTCAATCCTTTCAACCTTCTTTTTTATCCCTGTGTGTACCAGCCCTTTCTTCCTTTCCTATCCAGCCTGGAGGTCATGATCCAACACTTTGCCATTCTCATGCCAGCCCCTATTCAACCTGTCTTTCTCTCCAGTCCATCTACTAATCACTGGATTTCTCTATTCCTATACCCTCATCACTGAGCACTCTTAGGAATAACTACAATAACAACAAAAATCACACAGCCACTAAAATTGACACCAACAGAGGTGGGCCCTGAACACAACTCAACAAGCTTGGGTTGCCGAATCCCGTCACCTCATTGACTCCTGAAAACTCTCTCCCCTTTTCCTAAGCCCCCTACATCACCTTCAATTTTTAATTATCATCACTTAACCTCACCACTTACTTCCCAGAAAAAAAAAAAAAAGGAGGCTATAGGCAGAGTTTCCTCAATTTTCTATCCTCTTGACCCTATCTGCACCCAGGAACTAGGCAATTAGTTGAAAATGTATTTACTGAACACAATTTACCCAATGATCAAGCTAGCCAAAGGGCAGTTAACCAAATTTCCCAAATTTAACAACTTGAAAAAATTTGCTTTTGGACACCAAAATCCACTTTGGTGAAATTATCAGTTCACCAAAAATGTGTTTCTATTAGTGATTTGTAAAATTTATAGCAATTGTGTTGCCTGGAAAGGTTTAATAGTCTTGTGGATTCTCTTTTTTAAGGTTTTCAATTAGTTTCAGTTTGATTTAGTTTAGTTTTAGTTTTACCAACGTCTTTTCATTCATTAAATGCATTATGCCAAAGATTTCAGTCAAACTCCATTGAATGTCAGTTTTGTGTGTGATACACATTTCAGACACTTATGATTCAGATGCCTAAAACAAATACATAATACTCATTTGATTGAGCCAAAAAACACAAATCTATGTGCTAAAAATAGTTAAAATGAGCATTTTCCAACTCACTCTATGAGGCAATATTATTCTGATACTTAAACCAGGAAAAGACATCACAAGAAAACAAAAATACAGATCAATATCCCTTATGAATATATATGCAAAATTCCTCAACAGAATACTAGCAAACCAAATCTAACAGTATATAAAAATAATTACATACCATGCTAAGTGGAGTTTATCCCAGGAATGCAAGGTTGGTTTATCATCCTAAAATGAATTAATATAATACACCATATCACATCCCTAGAATAAAAAACAAAACCACACTATCATATCAATACACACACAAAAAGTATTTGAAAAAAATCCAATACCTTTTCATCATAAAACACTCAATAACTAGGAATAAAGAGAGCTTTCTCAACCTAACAAACTAGAATAAAAAACAAAACCACACTATCATATCAATACACACAGAAAAAGTATTTGAAAAAAATCCATACCTTTTCATCATAAAACACTCAATAACTAGGAATAAAGAGAGCTTTCTCAACCTAACAAAAAGCATGTATTAAAAAACCAAACCTAACACCATACTTAATGTTAGAAGACTGGATGTTCTTCCCCCCAGAGTCAGGAACAACACAAGTATGTCCACTCTTGCTGCTTCTGTTCAACATTGTACTAGAGATCCCACCAGGGCAGTTAGGCAAGAAAATGCATCAACATTGGATAGGAAGAAGTAAAAATATCTCTATTCACAGATGAAATTATCTCATACATAGAAAATCCTAAGGAATACAGACACAAACACACACATATACACACAAACTAATAAATGAGTCCAGCAAGGTTACAGGATATAGGATCAGTATTGAAAAATCAACTGCATGCAAAAATCAATTGTAATTTTTACACAATAGCAAGGAACAACCCAAGAAGAAAATTAACAAAACAATGCTCATTACAATAGCATCAAAGAGAATAAAATGCTTAGGAATAAATTTAACAGAAGTACAAACTCATACACTGAAAACTACAATTCATTGTTGAAAGACATTTTTAAAGTTCTAAATAAATGGAAAGACATAACATGTTTGTGGATTGGAAGACAATATTATTAAGAAGCAAATACTTCTCAAAATTATTTATAGATTCAACACAATTCCTATCAAAATCATAGCTGCCTTTTTAGCAGAAACTGCCAAAGCAATCCTGAAATTTACATGGAAGTGTAAGGGATTTGGAATAGCCAAAATAATCTTGAAAAAGAACAAAGTTGTAGGATTCACACTTCCTGATTTCAAACTGAATACAAACTAATCAAAATTGTATTTTACTGGCATAAGGATAGACATATAGATCAATGGGATAGAATTGAGAGTTCAGAAATAAACCCTTACATTTATGGTCAATTGAATTTTTACAAGGATGAAAAAATTAAATGTGGAAAGAGAAGTCTTTTAAACAAATGTTGCTGGGACTAGATATTCACAGAATAAAGTTGGACCCCTATCTCACACCACATATAAAGATTAAGTCAAATTGATCATGGACCTAACTGTAAGAGTTAAAACTGTTAAAACTCTTAGAAGAAAAGTACCATAAATCTTCTTGACCTTGGATTAGGTAAAGCTTTCAGATATGACACCAAAAGCACAATCAACAAAAGGAAAATTAGATAAATTGGGCTTCATCAAAATTAAAAGCTTTTGTGCTTCAAAGCACACCATCAAGAAAATGAAAAGACAATTCATAGAATGGGAAAATTTATTTGCAAATCACATATCTGATAAGGACCTTGTATCCAGAATATATAAAGAATTCTTACAACTCAACAGTAAAAAGACAAATAACTGAATTTAAACATGGGCAAAGGATTTAAGTAGACATTTCTCCAAAGAAGATATACAGATGGTTTTCGGTTTGACAAGAACTGGGAGCCCCACCAGGTTCTCACTACAAAGATTGGGAAAAATTTCCTCATGCTTCCAGAAAGGAGACAAGAAAGGTAATGAATGAGAAATATGTCCAGAGCTTTCTTTCCTTCTTATCAAGCCTACCCTCCAGGGAAACTATTTTACTAGAGCCTAATGGACTTGGGTTTTACCAAACCTAATCGACATGGGGGAAGGAAAACACCCAACTTCAGTTCCCTCCAGCCTTCCTGTTTCTCTAAGGTATGTGTTAGGGGGTGTTGGGGGGGGGTAGGAGAGAGAAGCTGAGAAGCACCTGTGAAGGTCACAGCCCAGGGACACAGGCTCACTAAAAGACTGATACCTAATCGTAAGACTGGAGAATGCTTCCCTTCTCCCTGCACCTTCTCACCACATCAATAAGACTCCTGAGTAATAACAGGGAGTTACAACTAAAAGAACTGCAAGCTTTAGACCCTACTTAAGAAAGCGTCTCTAGGGAAATCCAAAGACAACAGGGAATACAAAAACAAGGACACTAGAGAAAATGTTTAGCCTCTAACACCGCAGCTACAGCAAACAAACAGTAAACACATCCTAACTCCTAACCAGATAAACATAAAATATCACATTAAATACCTATCTGCCTCAGTTCCTTTTACCCAATGTAACAAAAAATTACAAGGCATGCTAAAAGACAAAAAAAAAAGAAAAACCAGTCAAGAGAAAATGAGCATCAGAATCAGACTCAGATGTGGCACAGATTTTGGAATTATAAGACTGCAAATTCAAAATAGCAGTCATTATATGCGAACAGCTTTAATGGAAAAGTGGACAGCATGCATGAACAGATGGATAATGTAAGCCATGAGAAGGAAACTCTAAGAAGTAATCCAAAGGAAATGTTAGAAATTAAAAACATTGTATTGGAAATAATGTCTTTGTTGGGCTCATCAGAAGACTGGACATGGCCAAGGGAAGAATCAATGAGCTTGAAGATATGTCAGTAGAAACTTCCCAAACTAAAAAGCAAAGAGAAAAAAAGAATGGAAAAAAATGAAGCAGAATATCCAAGAACTGTAGTACAATAACAAAAGGTGTAACATACATGTAATGAGAATACTAGAGAAGAAAGAGAAAGGAAGAGAAGAAATATTTGAAGCAATGATAGCTGAGAACTTTCAGAAATTAATGACAGACACCTAGCCACAAACCTAGAAAGCTTGGAGAATACCAAGCAT